TGTGGATATAAAAGTTACAAGGGTAGAAGAGCATTAATGTGCTAGCTTTTTGCTGGACCACAAAGAAGGGGAAAATATGTGATGGCAATTTGCAGGTCTTTTTACTGCTCCTGTTCATCTCACCACTCTGTTGCTGCTTCTTTGTAAAATGCAGACCAGGGGGACGGGGAGCAGATCAGAGCAAAGCCGCGGAGCACGCGGCCAGCTGACAGCCCAGACGCATCTGGGCTGTCTGCTGCCCGCGTGTTCCGCCGCTTTGCTTCCTCTCCCTGGTCTGCTGGAGACCAGGGAGAGGGAGGGCCCCGTTCGTAACTGCAGATCCGACGTAAGTCGGATCCGCGTAACTCGGGGACTGCCTGTATTGCATCACAGTCAACCCATGAAACTCTTATGAAGACCAAGACTACAACAGCGTTCAAAAATGAACTAGAGAAGGAGGCAGCTGGGTTGTGTCCCTGGTCAGCAACAGGCTGGGGGTGTTAGCTGCCTTTTGACACTGTGCAAGCAGGAAGAGACAAGCTGTTTTCAGCACCACAGGCCAGGAGGTGAAGGAGAGAGGAGCTCTGCAAAGACACAGACCAGGTCAACACTTTCCTACACTATCCCCTACAACTGTAAGCAGCTCCCATCCCTTCCCTCCCACACAGCACCGAAAGGCTGCTGCTGGCCATGTTCACAACAGAACCCTGGCAGAAATCTGGGGGCGAGAGGGATGGGAAAGGCATGTGACCCTACACTCCTCTAGCCTACATGTTGCCTTCGGAAGATGAGGTGCCAGGTACAAGAGGGCCAGTCAGGGAGTGGAAAGTGCAAGGCAAGGAGGCTTGGGTCAGTCAGTCATCTATACCCCGCCTCCATGTGAAAGAGGTTTATGGGAGTATATATAACTCTGTGTGGTGGGGGATAGGGATGTGTGTCATCCCTCTCCACGTAAACCCTAAAGTCATAAAGATAAGAAGGTAAATAAAAAATCCAACTGTGTGCTATTTCTTTTTAAAGGGGTTCAATTAACTTAATGTAAATTTGAGTGTTTGCACGATTGATTGCCATTGAACTCACTTGAATACAAGTACATTTTACCAGGTGTGCTGTCTTCAGTCAAGGGAAATATGGTCACCCTATTTGGGTGTCACACATTGTTGTGTGTGTCAGGAATAGGAATGAATTGAGTCAACTGGGAAAATAGGAACCAGCTCAAACTGAACTGATGATTTGAGGGTGGTGAATTATAAAAAGGCATAATAATGTGGTGGCCTCATCTGGAATTTTTTTGTTTTATTCCTTATGCATCCATGCTAACATCATGTTGGCTCTTCTGACCACAGGTCCACATCAAACAGAGGTCTTTATTAAGCTGTCTGAAAGAACAGGGGTAAACCATAGCACACAGTCTCACTGGCAGTGTTATCATTATGTTGTGAAGGCACTTTCTTGAAAGACCCTCTTTGCAGGTCTCTCTCATCAACAACATTTTTTTTATTATCCTTCTCTTGTAATTATCCTTCTCTTGCAATTCCCCTGATCTTGTTCTCTTCCACTCTGCCCCTTGAAATGCAAACAGCTCCTGGTTCACCAAATGTGTTATGTTTGATTTTCCCATTGCCCCAATGAATCTCCTTCTCCCTCATCTCAAAGTTCCTTCTCTGCAATTCAAGCTCTGAGCTGTCTGAGACACCTTTATCTTTACTCTTACTAATCTGCTGCCTATAAATTGGTGTAAATAAGAACTAACTACACTGAAATCAGTGATATTACCTGGGTGGACACTCCATGTAAATGAGAGATCTATGGATCTGTTACTAGCTGGCTCTGTGTTTTACTGGTTTGAGGAGATCCAGGGGAATTCAATTTTTTTTTTTTTTTTTACTTTTGAATAAGGATAGTTGCAATAATTAGCTTATTTCCCCATGATGAAATCTGAAAGCTTATTATCACTATGCGCAATGTGTTCCCAGTGACTTTTGTGGCTTATCTTGTGCTTTTGCTCTAGCAACATCTTCCTCTAATAACCATGGTTACATCTTGGTTTGGAATTAAACTCAACCATCTATTGCAGTTGATAGTCAAAAGCTTCCGTTCAGCACCTGAGGATTGAGGTAAATAGATGGATTTCAATCTGATTATAATGTGATTTTATTTTAAAACAACCACTCCCAAATCCGACCACACCCCCATGCCTTTTTGGCTCACTTCCTTCCTCCCAGGATAAATGACACCTCATCTGTCTATATTCACCATCTGACACCCTCTATATAAATGCTTAGAATTAACCATATATTACCTTCTCTGATGCTGCCTTTGAAATACTCTAACCTGTGAGGTGAACAAAGGACCGGGGCAGCGATTTGTATGGGGCTGTGGTGCCTGGGCTCCACCAATGCTGGGACTGGGTCTTTCCCCCTTTTCCACCTGCCACCCCCTACGTGACTTCCCCCAGTGTCCTCCCTCCCTCACCTGACCTGTGCTCTGAGCAGCAGTTGGCTGTTCCGGGCGGCTCCACACTGCACACACTCCTTCGCCTGCTCTCCCCTAGCCTGGCTCTGAGGCAGTGGCATCTGCAGAGCAGGCGAGAAGGGAAGACTCACTCTGGAGGTACGTGGAAGTCCCCTCTTCCTTCCCCCTCCCCCCGGCAGGCAACTCCTTCCTAGGGCTTGGGTGAGTGCCTGACTCAGACAGGGAGGCTGTGGGGAGACAGGAGGAAAGAGGGCTGGGGAGAGTCATCCCCTTTGATCCCATCCTTGTGGCAGCTTGACTGCTGCACCCTGAAGTTTGAACTGCTCATACCCAGCTCCAAAGCCAGAGTCCTCACCCCCCCGACCAGCGTTCCTTGTAAGCTGTGCACTTTGGCAGTCTCCCAGGAGAGATTCAGGAGCTGCCCAGCTGATTAGTAGCCAGCAGCATGTGTTTCTACTGGTGGTGCACATCTACCCATGCTTTGAAGTACGTAACAAAATGTATTCCTCACATGGATGGAAAAAATTAGAGGGAATATTACCCCAACCCCAACTCTCTGCCCCAGCCCTGAGCCCCTCCCACATCTTCATTTGAACTCTCCTTCCATGGCCACAGAGTCTGTACACAACTGTCAGAGACATCAACACCAATCACGACCCTCCGCCCTAGTCCTGAGCCCCCTTCTCTTACGTAACAAAATGTATTCCTCACATGGATGGAAAAAATTAGAGGGAATATTACCCCAACCCCAACTCTCTGCCCCAGCCCTGAGCCCCTCCCACATCTTCATTTGAACTCTCCTTCCATGGCCACAGAGTCTGTACACAACTGTCAGAGACATCAACACCAATCACGACCCTCCGCCCTAGTCCTGAGCCCCCTTCTCT